CCTATACATGTCTGCAGTCACCACAAGCGGGTAATTTCGGACATTTACAGGGTAGATTTTAATCGTCAAAGAAAACCCAATATCAATTATTTATGGTTTTATAATACTAATTTTTAATTATTGAAGCTAGTTTTTTTTTTAATAATTTCAGGTCATCTTTTTATTATATGCGACAAAAAAAATATTAACAACTTACCAACAAAATATGATTAAAGCATTGAGGTGGACTTCTGATAGCAAGTAGATTTATGGACACTCTGTCCGGTGTCTACAGCTTATTTTCACGAAAGCATCAAGGAAAATATTTAACTTATGATTAAGTGTTAAATCTTAAAAAAAAAAAGTAGCAATTTTTTGTTTTTTAACCAGGAACAGGTTTAGCAATCCGGGGCCATAATGAATTTATAGGACTATCAAATAGATAAGTGGCATAAGTGCAAAGTAGTTGATAAAACAGGCGTAAATGCAAACTAGCATAAGTGCAAGTTAGCAAGAGTTATGTTAGTTTTCACTTATGCAAGTTTGCATCTGTGTAAGTTCGCACTAATAAAATTAGCACTTATTTTAGTTACCCCTGTAATATTTTGTTATTATGTAAATAACAACTTGTGTGAACAATTTTTTTTGTTTTAAACTGTTTTAAACCCATAGATATACTGTAAAAATATGATATTGATTATATCAATATCATATTTTTACAGTATATCTAAAATGCCAGTAATTAAGGCAAATCCTTAATTACTGGCATTTTAGATATACTGTAAAAATATGATATTGATATAATCAAATGTCGTTGACAGAAATACAATTTTGCAAAAATTTGTCTGGTAAATGTTTTAGATAAAAAACACGTTTAAAAGAACAGAATAAACTAGCTTTTATGTCCTCTGCGCTGGACATTAATTAAACTTTGTAGCTCAGTACAGTGTCAGTAAGCCTATCACTTCTATCAACTATTTTGGTGTTCTGCAGTGTTTTTATGAAGTTTTTGTAGCATCTACACACAGATAGGATTTACTAAAAAGAGTCTATCAAATACACAACATTAATCTAGAGCAGATGCTCCAAAAGGTTTAGTGGAAAATTTTATTGAGATTCATGCAGCGGTATCTCTTATAGCTGAGGGTGTAGAAGAAATTTTTAAAACTCATTACGAAGCTTTGTGTTTATTAAATAAAACCACTAAGCTAGAGTTTGCATTCATAGCTGTTCTTTAGAATCACATACTTAGTAGGTTTAATGCAGTTAATAAATTTCTTCAAAAAGTTGAAATAAATTTGCACACAGCAAAATTCTACGAATCACTCCTGTGATTGTTCATAGAAATAAATACTCCCTCATTTTGTGCCTAGATTTAACTCTGAGCAATCAATAAGTTACTTTCACTAATTAATTGTGTAAATAGCTTGCGAAACGCATATTTACCATATTTGAGAATTAATTAAAAAAACTTAACTCTTTTTTTTTTTTTAGATAAAAACAAAAGGAAATTTATTAAAAGATTAAACAACAAAGTTTAAACATATCTTAAAATTTCAAGTAAATACTCTCGGGGGGGGGGGGGCGTTATTAAAAAGAAAAGAGGTTTTTTTATTTTACAATATAAGTTTTTTTTTATAAAAAAGTTCAGTTTATAATTCCATATTTTACAAAACACACATAAAACTATTTAACTCGAGCGTGGCTTGCGGTCAAATGCGCATTTTCTAACAGCTGTTAGAAACTGCGTATTTGAAGTAATAAGTTTTTTTGAGGTAATAAGTTTTTGTTAATAACAAGTTTAACAATTTCATTACAAATACTTAACCTTCTACTTTATTTTCAATAAAAGTGATTAATTTTGACAAAAAAATAAATTGTTAAATTAAATGAAATCATTAATATTATCAAATTAGAATCCATGGTAAATATTTTTCTTTTCACTTAAAAATTATTAATTAAAAATTTATAAAATACAAAATTATAAAATTTTATAAAAGACGAAATCATTATCTGTGGTTATATATGATGCCATGAGAACAAAAGTAGTGTAACCCACAGATTTACAAAATGTGTTTTTTTCGCGTAAAGTAACTCTATAAAAAACGTAAAGAAATTTCTCAATAGATAACTAAAACTGAAAAGCTGGTCTCAATAGATGGTTCTAAATAAATAGAATCTCAATAGATGGTTAAAACTGAAAAGAATTCAAAAAGAAGTCTCAATAGATGGTTCTAAATAAATAGAATCTCAATAGATGGTTAAAACTGAAAAGAATTCAAAAAGAAGTGAGATAATTTAATTAAAAAACTACGGAATTTTATTTTTACTGTTTTCTCCATTGTTTTAATATATTGCTTACACCACTTTTGTTCTCATTGCCTTTTATATACTACAATAGAAAATTAGGCATTATGCATGAAATTATTCCATGGAAGGAACAATTTGTGACAATTACAAGTGAAAATGCAAAAACTTTTCTTTGCAACCTTTGTGCAACGATTGGAGTTCTTCCTCAGAATCAATAGTTCTGAGGTTCGATGTCGGCTCTGACCAGATGAACAACATTGGTAAGGATGGAGGTGTGAACTTCCTAGTTTAATTTTCTTTCCACGGTTCTTTGTGAAAAGATACTTAGTTTTTCTTGGAGCACTTTAACAACTAAAAAAAAGTCATCATAGATGATTGTGGATTTTTGTGAGGACTTACTAAGTAGAAACTTTAAATTATTCTTCTGTAAAATAAGACGGCGTAAATAAATAAGTAATTAAATAAACTGTCTTGTAACTTTAAACAAGTAACTTCAATTTCTCCTGGATCCTAAAATGTAAAACATTTTAGTTATTGAGACACAAAAAGCTTAGCTTGTTTAAAGTTACAAGGCAGAATAAAACTGTTTAAAAAAATGATGCACATTTTCCAGATTATTTCTATATTACCTTAATCTTGATTGGTTTGGATATTTAAATATATTACCACGATGAATTTTTGTGAATACTTTAAAACATTTTAATTAATGCGGTTTCTTGAAAAGCAATAAAAAAGCGAGTATTCAAATAAAAATTTTGAAACCTTTGTAATCTACTAATGCAGTGGCATATATGTTGTTAAAATTATCAAATGATGATAATGTTTAAACTTAACCAATTATCAAAGACGTCGAATCAAGCAACACATACAATAATACTAAACGTGAAAGAAGTGTAAATGTTTCAAATAAAAAAATTGCAAAATATGCAACTTTTGGTATGAGAAAATCATTTGCAGTTTGGAATTGTTAGGTAGCACAATGTCGCCTTAGGAAACATCAACCTAACTCTTTGTCCTAGGGGAATCCATATAATTAAGGAGATGGAAACTTCTTTTTTAGAGCAGTTTTTTTTTATCATAACTGGAAATGAAGATAAATATAAGCAAATTAGAAACCAAGTTATTAATCATAACAAAATACAAGATGAAATAACGGGATATTTGAATACGCCAATTCCAACGCATATTTGTTAAACTAAAATGCTTGAAAATGTGACATGGGCAACTGATGCGGATGGGCTTCATTTATGGAAGTAAATATTCAAGTAATCAGTAAATATGAAACGAAAATAGAATGGATGACCTACCATGCAGTTTACGGCTTAATAAGTTTAGTGATTATTCTATATTTATTAACAACTTAACTAAAATTCACTTTGATGCAGCGAATTACAGTTAAAAATCTAGTGCATGTAAATGCATATGGATAGATTTATTGATAGATTTAAACTATGTCTGAGTATGGCTCTAAATGACACCGCTAAGTCATGGCCTAGCAAAAATTATACTTTCATTTATCATTTTGGAAGCCATTCTAATTCAATAGAAGAAATGACACACATAGTTATGAAGTAAGCAAATTTGGCCAAAGCTGGTGATGATCTAGTACAAGTTTGCTCCAGTAAAGTCGTTGATTTTTAGATTATTGTGTATACTGGTTTTTTCATAATTGAATTTGTGAATGTTAAAAAGTCCAACAATGTAAACTAATTTAAAGAAAAAGTGCATTTTCCCCCATAGTAAATTTTTGTTAATGGTTTAATAATTTTTTTGCACTTTCAAAAAATATATATATATTAAATCATTAACAAAAATTTATTACAGGGGGAAATACAGTTTTTTTTTGTTTCCCAAAAGTTTTCATTGTTCCGCCCTTTTAACATTCACCGATTTAAAATAATTTTTTTTTTTGCATAATTTATGCAAAAAAAAAAATTATTTTAAATCGGTGAATGTTAAAAGTTAAAATGTTAAAATTATTTTAAATCTGTATACGTGTTTTGAAAATTTAATTTTTTTTACACTCCTAATAAACAATCAAAACGATTCTATTCTAGAAACACCTCCTTTACCCCGTAAAATTGCCTCTGTGTTGGAAAGACGTTAACCTCAAAAATATAAAAACAAATCATTCAAAACAAAAGCATTAGTTTCAAACTAATTAATTAATCATGCAACAAACGTTTTTTTAACGTATGTCGTCCATAAATTACGCAACGCAAAATATAAAAGTAGGAGAAACTTTTGCGCGGCGATTTTATTAACTTAGTTTAGTGGATTATTTTTGATTTTTTATGTAGACTAAGACTCTGCGATGGAAAACTTCTGATTTTTTTTTGTTTTGTTTATTGTGAAATTTTGCATTACGTTGTTTATGGACGATCCCTAAAATGATTAAACGAGATTTCTAGCGTACGTTTTAAAGACGATGCGTAAAAAAAGGAAGTTAACTTAAGACTTATTAACTGTTTACGAGAATATCTTTTTGAATTCCTACCACTGCCTCGAGATAACGTTTATTTGCTTTAACTCTCTAATGTCTTAGTCCGCCATGATAGTAACGAGTGGCACAAGACGCGTTTAATACGTTAAAAAAACGTTGTAATACGTTATTACACGTGTTTTAAATGTCAAAGCACGACTTGTGTCTACTGGGCGGAACATTATAAATGCATAATTTTAATAGTAAATGATTTTTAAAATTATAACTACTTGTTTAAAATAGAAATTTATAGTCGCTCTGACCAACGGCATGTTTGTAAATATAAATTTGTAAATACGTCAACATCAACGTACGGTCTTGAGCTGTGAGAACATAAAAAAATGTTAATGCAAAAGCCTAATATAATTGGAAGAAACGCACTTAATTCACTCCTCAACGTTTCAAAACATAGCACAAATTTATTCATATCATATTTTTTATTGAAGATATATCAATTATTATACAACAAAACAAGCAAAACTTATTTATTTGCCTGATGAATAATAAAATGACATACGATATTAATAAGTTGCAGCCGAAAAACAAAACAGCCCCACAACCTTTTTTAGATAGTATCAAAGGCTTGTGCAATAATCATGAACTAAATCTGGAAACAATAATGCAAAGTTTAATTTACCTTACTTATATAATGGGTGTTTAATAAAATCTAAATAAAAAAAATCAACTTATACAAAATAAAGTTTTCTAATATATTTGTATTCATATGAAACAATATTGGTTGAAAAGATACCATAAAATAAATTAAAACAACGGAATAGATAGCAATATTGTTAATTAATGTTATGAACTCAACTAGACATTTTGGAAAATGTTTTGTAAGGTAATATCTATTAATAATAATTAATTACCTATATAAAAAAAACCTTTGTTTTAGATGTTAATATATTTTTACATTATTATTTTTATTATTCTTATTATTATTATTATTACTATTATTATTATTATTATTGTTATTAATATTATTATTATTATTATTATTATTTTGAATTAATTATTATTTAAACATATATAAGGTAACAGGGGGAATTAAGCCCCATGTTCTCTAGAACTTTTTTTTTTTGAAATAAATAAATAAATATTAAATTTAAACTGGAAATATTTTTAAGGGATAGACAACTCATTTCTATATGTACAAAAGCTTTATTCACAAAAATTTTAAGTCATATAATAAAAAAGAAACTTAAAAGTTACAACTAACATTGACTCAAGTTTTAAAAAATGGGTGAAATAAGCTCTAGTATGCAAAGCAAGTATTTTTAAACTGATTGTAGTCTATTTTCACAGATCCAGTCCAAGGCTTCAATATCAGCTCCACCTGGAATTTTTTGTGCATTTAATATAGTATCAAATATTGCATAAGTCACAGCACACCCATTCTTCTTTTTGACCTCCATGAATACCACATTTTAGAAAAACAGTGTTGTTGTCCTCATCACTAAAAAAGATAACGCTCCAAGAAAAAAGACCACAAAAAAAAATCTTACTGCTGGAGATGATAGGGACTATCATCTCCAGCAGTAAGATTTTTTTTTGTGGTCTTTTTTCTTGGAGCGTTATCTTTTTTTGTTGCTTCTTCTTTCAGTTGCTTTAAACATTCATCACCTGTTAAGCTTTCTCCGTAACAAAATCTGACTTTAGCTAACCTATCATGCACAGAAGTTTGCACAAATATGGACTGCCGTTCTTTGAGAAGAAAGTCTCTAATAGAAGATGAGGATGAAGTAGAAAATGGTACCTGTGGTCTTTCTGCAGGTGCTGAAGATAAAGGTGATGATTCCCTTGATGATGCTGCAGTTGACAATGATGTAGACAGTTATAGATGTAGTAGTGATGATGATGCAGAAGCATAGTGAGCACCAGTGCTGGAAAGTACTTGTAATAATGCTTGGAAGCCTGGCTGGTTAACATCTGCTTTCATATGACAGAATTTTAGGCAACTGTCATTGTCTGGTTTGTCCTAATTATTTTTTTTTATGTCTGAACCATTTGAAGGAAACTGAAAACTGGATGGAAAAATCACTCATCTATAAATGATGCATTTTTTTGTTTGTTTTTTTTTTTTTTTGGTAATTTTTTCGGAATAAAAACGCAGAGTGCTTTTTTTTGATTTTTTGGGAAATATTTAAAAATTCATCATTTAAGCTACTAAAATAAAACAGATAAATACAAACAGTAAACAAAAGAGACTTAAGATAGAATGATAATTCAAGTGAGAATGAGTTTTAGTTAATGGAACTAGAAATGATAACTCCTTTGAGCAGCAACCATGATAGTATTTGTAGAAAAGAGAATGAGATGCAACTTTACAACAATGGAAAGAGGCTCAAGCTAGATAGAGCGAGTCTAATTACATTTAAAATGCATTTTTGGACCTTGTCTAGAAGAGAAGAACCAGCCCAAATATGGCAACAGTATTCCATACAGGGATGAATAAGAGATTTGTAGAGGTAGAGAATTGAATCAGGAGTAAGAAAATGGTGAGTACAATAAAAAAAAGCAACCTTAGCACAAGCTAATTTAATAATCTTAAGTATATAAGGTTTACATGAAAGGTCAGCAGTAAACAAAAATAAAAAAGGCATAAAAAAGAGGACTCAGTAAGAGGGTTGCCATTTAATGGTATAGGAATCTGGATAGTATTTTTTGTGGTAAACACCTGAGTTTTATCGGATTTAAATTTTTATATAAATAAATAAATATATATATATATATATATATATATATATATATATATATATATATATATATATATATATATATATATATATATATATATATATATATATATATATATATATATATATATATATATATATATATATATATATATATATATATATATATATATATATATATATATATATATATATATATATATATATATATATATATATTTCTTGTAGAAAAATAATTCTGTACATGAAAAAAATCTTTTGGTTTGTGGTTATCCAGTAAAAATTTGTTCTCGTGGCAACACTTGAATATTAGTTTGCTTTTTTTGTTTAAAAATTTTTTGGGATTTTTTGTACAAAAAATTATTAGTTTTTGACAGTGAAGTTGACACAAAATGCATTAAAAATATAGATATTGACTTGCTTTAGTTTTGATTATCTATCCCAATGCAATATATATATATATATATATATATATATATATATATATATATATATATATATATATATATATATATATATATATATATATATATATATATGTGTATATATATATATATATATATATATATATATATATATATGTATATATATATATATATATATATATATATATATATATATATATTTATACATATATATATTTATACATATATGGGTAATTCCATGTAAAAGTGGGACAGTCATTTCTGTCACCCCTCAGATTTTCTTTAAATTTTTACCACTGGTACCTATTAATGAAACATGAAAAAATGTAAAGTTTGAGCAACCAAATCCAAACGGTTCAAAAGTTATGACATTTTGAAATTTAGCCTAAAACATCCTTTTTTTAACCAAGTCTGCCATTATGGTTTTTGTTGTTGTGCTTTTTAATAAATAATTTAAGTTCTAGTAAAAGAGTATGACTAAAAATTGATACCCAGCCATTTTTGAGATTACTGAATTCAAAAATGTGGAGATAATTGTGAAATTTAAAATTTTTGATGTTTATTTTTTGATTTTAAAATGGCCAGTCAATTTTTTTGTCCTATTACCATGGGTTGCGCTTTTACTATCTCCTGGAGTTGCCCAAGTCTCATGGATTCAATTTTTTTTTCAAATGAAAGAGGACATCTTAGGCTATCTTAATAAAAAAGATGGTTTTGGTCTCTTGAAGCATAATAAAACTATGTCATTTTGAAATTTAGGCAAAAAAAATTCCTTTTTTGGACTCTTTGTGTGAGTAATTTAAGTTATAGTGGAGGAATATGACTGAAATTTGGTAACTGACCATTTTTGAAGGTGGTGAATCTAAAGATAAAGAGAAAATAACCCAATTCTAATTGTTTAATAATAATTTTAAAATGTTGCCAGTCAAATTATTTATTTCATTAGCATGGGTTATGTTTTACTCATTTTTGGAGCTGATTTTTGGTTTCTGAAAGAAAAAAAAAAAATTTTTTTTATAACTTGCATATGTATATTCAATATCTTTTAAAGTATTTATGATAATATAATTTGCATTACAGTACATTGAAAATATAATTTCTTTATTTATCATTTATAGTAATTTAACCAGCATGTCTAATAATTAAGTATTGATTTAAAATAATTTTGAAAATTTTATGCTGCATTTTCAAATGTGCTTCATACTCCTTTACAAAAAAAAATGTTTTTGTAAAGGAGTAAAATATCTCCTTTGTTGGGAAAAAGGAACTCAACAAGAACAATGAAAAGAAATAAGCAAATGTTACAAAAATTGAAGTTTTTATAATTTTACAAATAATTTGTTTAACTAATGAATTTGGGGCATGGTGATAAGGCTAAATTTGTCTTCTTCTAGCTCCGGTCATGTAATTATTTTTTTATGAGTTACGGCTGTTAATTTTTTATTTTTCTTTTTGGCAAAAAGTGTAAATAAAAAAAAAAAAGAAAAAAATAAAGGTGAAATACTAATAAACTTTCATTGACAACATAAAAGCTGTTTAAATAGAGTTTCATCTTCTTTTGAGATGTGGTACTGACGCCCAGAAGATGTTCATGGTGTTTTAACAAAAGAAATGATGTTGATTCTTGGCACCCAGCAATTATCATCCCGGTTTGGCCAGTAGTACGACCGACTTGGATAATGTGGATGCATGAACTTTACTAAAAAATCATCATTCTCTTTATCAATTTCAGAAACCATACCAAGCCAGTAAAATTCGTCATATTTGCAAAACAGGTATTGTGATATCATAACATAATCAATCTTAATAGTTTCAAATTTTTGTTTATTAATAAAGTCAAATGTTAGAGCAAAATCAGCATCATCAGACACCCTTTTCATCTTTATATTTGAAAGAGAAGAAGGTACAAATTGATGAAAACTTCTTATCCCAGGAACAGTGGTTGCTGTTAAAAGTCTATCAGTAAGTTTGTTTCGTGCAAACTCCATTTCTTCAGCAGTGATGTACATAAACATAATTCCACTGATTGACTTTTGACAGTATTCAAACATTGCTTGAGCGGACAGTATTTGACCTGTGTTTGGACTCTGCAAGCTAGCAGTGGCAACAAGCCTTTTTACAGTGCCACCTATTCCATCGCATGGAGATTTACCATGGCTTGTTGCAAAGAAATTCCAGATGCAACTAAGAGAAAAATCTTTAGAGTGGTGACATAAATTGTAAAAATGTTTGCATTTCTTATACTGCCCTACACAACCATCAGAAAAATAATGAATTTTTGTAATTGTGGGACAAATATTAGCTTTTATATGATTTATGGTTTTATGCATAACTTCATTAATAAATCCAACATCATGATTCAAATCATCTGAAATTATGCAAAAAGATGATGTTTCCAACTTCATTTTCTTGTAATAGATGACAACTGGATGTAGAAAACACTGACTCTTGCTCCAATGGTAACTCTGTACCTCGTCTTGTACTACAAAAGTGTAATTCTCTGCAAAATCTACCAGGACAATTGCCTCATCAATACTAAGTGTTTCCTTGAGATGCTTGAGATAGCTAGATTGTGATTTTGCAATAAATGAATGACAAGTAATTTTATCAAGCTTTTCACACAGCAGATCTATAAATTCATTTAATGGTAGGTTTATTGTTAATAGTTCAGTTCTATCTGTTGTTGCCCACTGTTTGAAATCCACGGACTGTTCATTTTC